AGGCCACACCCAACAGCAGAAACTCATTAGGACTGGCTACGTTAGGGGTGTGTGGCCTAATATGCAAAGAAGTTCCTGCTACAAAAAAAGCCCTGGGTTTTGACAACAAACAAGGTAAACAGAATAACAAGCAAGAGATGGGTGTGGCTGGATGACCATACTTCTGGTAACATGGGGGTGCGGCCTAATGTGCTAATGAGCTGTGCTGTCAGGGGTGTGGCCCAATATGCTAATGAGTTTCTGCTGTTGGGTGTGGCCTATTATGCTAATGAGTTCCTGCTGGGCTTTTTCTACAAAAAGAGCCCTGACTGCTACTGATGGACCTCACCTTGGGTCTATCTCCTTTCCCGGGGATTTTTGAGATTACAGTTCACCTCAGGGACCATGATAGGGAGCCACGTCCCCACTGGCTCTCGGAGTGCATTCTGCCCTGCAGAACAAGTATCTGGATGTTACAGAGCCTCTCTTGGGGGGGACACAAAAACCTGTCTCCACTAGATTCCTTGGAGCTGCCGACTTGACTTCAGGCAAAAATCTGGCGAAGGATCCAAGGAACAACCAACCACGGTTCGTCAAGGACTCATTCAGCCACCCAACTTCCAGGCTCACCTGAACTCACACCCAGGAGGCTTTGGGCCAGAGGCGGACACAGCAGCGGGTCCAGCCGACCCAAGCCCTGTCCCTTCTGCCCTTTGGCGAGCCAACCCTTCTTCTCAGCAGCCCTAATGAAGCCCCAGGGGAACGGGGGGAACAGGTATTGTCGAAATGTCGGCCAAATGCCACGTATATTGATTTGACATTTGCTGTGATGTGTTTCAGCACCGGGATGGCTGGCTGCATCCCTTGAAGGAGATGTCTGTGCTTGTAAGTGCTTATTAGAATGCAGGCCGGGCCACTCTTTGCAGCGGCACGTGGAGGGCCAGCAGGGCCCCCCTGTCCTTTCTCCTTCCCTCTTGTGCCACCCTCCCCCGGCAGCGGCGGCTGCAAAGGTGCTTCTCTTATACGGCTGGGGGAGTGGGAGTTTCTTATTTGGAAATGTGGACATTGGCTACAGTTTTACGTCTTTTTAAAAAACCCATCCCAACGTGTGACAAAATATCCCAGCTAAGGAGATTTGTAAAAGAACCCCAAACCCATACTCCTGTTAACACTCTCTACAAATTCCCAACCTCTTTTGCATCAGCAGACACTCGATTCTTTTCAAGTGACTTTATCCCATACTTATCTTTCTACTCAGGGCTCTTTTTGTAGAAAAAGCCCAGCAGGAACTCATTACCATAATAGGCCACACCCAACAACAGGAACTCATTAGCATATTGGGCCACACCCCTGACAGCACAGCTCATTAGCACATTAGACCGCACCCCCATGTTATCAGAAGTGTGGTTATCCAGCCACACCCACCTTTTGCTTGTTATTCTGTTTACCTTGTTTGTTGTCAAAACCCAGGGCCTTGTTTGGTAGCAGGCTTTGCATGTTAGGCCACGCACCCCTAATGTAGCCAATCCTAATGAGTTTCTGCTGTTGGCTGTGGCCTATTATGCTAATGAGTTCCTGCTGGGCTTGGCCAACTTGGGAGCCAGCCGGAACTCCGTTCCTGTGCATTCCTGCCCCCAAATAGCCCTGTTGCTACTCATGTGGATGAGTTACATGTATATCCTGCCTTTCTTCCATCATGCAACCCAAGGTGACATCCACAGGAAGGGAGTTGGCAGGAGATCAGGCAAGGACCTAGATCTACCAGGAGGCGGGAAGATGTGCCCTCCAACAATACCCTTAGACCTCACTTCCTGGCAGGGGCAGATTAACCATTAACATAAGAACATAAGAAACGCCAATGTTGGATCAGGCCAAAGTCCCATCCAGTCCAACACTCTGTCACACAGTGGCCCAAAAATACCAGGTGCCATCAGGAGGTCCACCAGTGGGGCCAGGACACTAGAAGCCCTCCCACTGTTGACCCCCCCCAAGCACCAAGAAGACAGAGCATCACTTGCCCCAGAGTCCCTATCTATACCTTGTGGCTAATAGCCACTGATGGACCTCTGCTCCATATGCTTATCTAATTCAATTTTGAGGCCATTAAGCAGACTAAGCACGTGCTTAGGGCACCAGGGCCAAAGGGGGCACCACAAAGTTGGGAAAAGGGTGAAAAGCTTAGTTTGTAGAGTATATTGTGTTATCATATGAATAAATTTTTGTATTGCTGCAACCTTCATTTTATATCTGGTCAGACAGGTCAACAACTAAAATAGACTGGGTCAGAGTGGAAAGGAGGGAGGCGCCAAGATTGGTCAGTGCTTAGGGCACCAGTGAGTCTTAATCCGCCCCTGCTTCCTGGGATGCCTCTGCCTGGGACGGTCAGTCCTTCAGTCCTCCCAGTTGTTGGGCCCCACTGGCCTCTTGCTTTCAAATGATTCAGCCTCCTGCCCCTTGCTGAATTTTATCTTGTGAACTCAGAGCATCCCAGGGGGTACCTCCTCTGTCTCTTTCTCTCATCCTTTTGTTTTCCCCTTAAACCTCAACTTTCCAGTGAAGCCTTGAATTTAACCCCCCAGTCCTCATTCCCACGCAAACCAAAGCCTAAGGACGAGCAATTGCATTTGCTCCAGCTTATCCCTTTCTTTCCTTTGGAAGCACAAACCATAGCTGAGTGTCGGTGAAGCTGTTGGAATTTTTTTCCCCCTGCTGGTCTATGCAGCTGACTCTGTATGCAGGAGGCTGAGGGCTCAAATGCACACAGGTCATGTGTCTTGTTCTGTCCATAACATTCAGACTGCAGGCTTGTGAAGCCTCAATTTGCCTTGGAGCTATATGGGGAAGAAAGAGGTTCAGTCCTTCAACCTCCACCTGATTACGCTATTTGAAACTGGCTCCCCTGCTCTGCTATTAGAATTGCAAAGGAGAAAATAAAGGTAAAGGTTTCCCTTGCTCGAAAGTCAGTCGAATCTGACTCTAGGGGGCGGTGCTCATCTCTGTTTCCAAGCCTAAGAGCTAGCACTGTCCGAAGACATTTCCATGGTCACGTGGCCAGCATGACTAAACGCTGAGGCACATGGAATGCTTTTACCTTCCCACTGAAGCGGTACCTATTTATCTTCTTGAAATTTCTTGCTTTCAAACTGCTAGGTTGGCAGGAGCTGGGGCCAGAGATGGGAGCTCACTCTGTCACACGGCACTAGGGTCTCGAACTGCTGAACTACAGACCTTCTGGTCTGCAGCTCAGTGTCTTAACCTCTGAGCCAGTACGGCCTTAAAGGAGAAAATAGGTTAATTCTAAACAGAGTTACACCCTTCTAAGCCCATTGACAGCAATGGATTTGGAAGGGTATAGCTCAGTTTAGGATTATACTGCGTATCTCCCCTTTGTTTTTCACTTGGCTCTGAGGCCAATGAAAGCTGCACAAGTCAGCAGCTTGCTTTTTGTGGATGCAACTAAATGTCTTGTCTATCTGAGCTCCAAGAGGGGAGCAGCTGCCAAACAAACTAGGGTTGTTGAATTTGGATGTAAAGAGAAACCACAAGCAAGCAGTTAATACATCCAATGCAAACAGTTGTTCAGAATCCCTGTTTAGCACTTACCATCATACCCGTTTGTTAGACAGCCTGCATTCAGATGTCACAATAAACCCAAGTTGAACCAAACTGTGGTTTAGAAACTGAGGTTTATCGTAATGTCTGCAAGTGAATCTAGGCTGCGATCACATGCACCTTTACATCCAACTAGAGACGTGAAGGCCCGGAAAAAAACCGGAAAAATTTGGGAAAAAAACATTTTTCCCCGTTTTTTTCCTGAAGCCTTTTTGTTTTTTTCCAAAAAATTGGAAAAATTGAAAAAAGAAAATAAAAGAAAAAAAAATTGATTATGGAACGTTTTATTTTAACATGATGAATAAAATATTTTAAGACCAGGTGTTCAAATATTTTCCAAATCATTTCTAATATATATATGATATCAGATTGATGTAATTTCTGTGCACTGAGGACAAGCAAGTCCTAGGTTACAAACTGAACTTTCCAATGCAAGAACAAGATGCATTTTTTTCCTTTAGGAGGTGCGATTGTCAGAACAAAATAAAAAAGTTTCAGTTTTGTTTTTGTGTGTGGGCGGGTATTCTGTAATAATTGTTTGGATACACCATATTTTTAATATGCTAGTTGTGATAATTTCATGCCAAGTAAAAATGTCCATAGTCATATTTTATGTTCCTAAAGTAACAGAATGACTTTCAAACTAGAAAAGACAAAATAAATGCTAATGTAGCATTTTTTTCAATTTTTCCAAAAATTTACACACACCCCCCAAAAAAAAAAACCCCGGGTTTTTTCCGAGTTTCAAAATTTCCGGAAATTTTACATCTCTACATCCAACATAGGCGCAAATGCCTGATAGTTCTAAAAGGTGTAATCAGACAGCAACATCTGGGAAGCGTCCCTCAGTCATCCGCAACCCGTACTGCTCTGTTATGGAAGCAGAGTTAGAAGACACTGAGGAAAGTCCGGTAGTAAAGGGGTTCTGATGGGCCATGGATGGACTTTCCCCTGTCTGATCACGCAAGCACGCTCTCATGCCGTTGGGATGGTCTGATCAGGCCATCCCAGCTCAGTGTCATTTTTTTTTGGCCCCCTCTTTGCAGCATGCGCATCATCGCACACTCCATAGGGGGCCCTCAGTGCAGAGGTGCAATTCCTCATTTATGCGCATGGTAAACAAATGGCCCCAAAAACACCCCAACTCACCCGCAGTTGCATTTGATCACACAATGACGGGGCTGCTGCCTGCAGCTACAAAGGGAAGTGTGATCTCGCAACTGCGTGTCAAATTCCTCTGGAGGAAATAGCCTCCCTTCCCCTCCTCTTCAACTGGTGCGTGGGACCGCAGCCCTAGAGTAGTTTTGTCCTCCTGATCCAGTCCAGGTTTTGCTGTAGGTCAGATTCAGCAGCCTGTCAAAACAGATCCTGCCACCCTCCTCTGTGGTCCCCATCTGTTGATCACTCACCCGGATCTCCACGCCATAACCAGGGTACACGGAGATGGTGTAGATGCATTCAAGGGTGTTTCCCTCGTAGGGCAAACCAGAAGGCAGCGGGGAGGCCAGCGAACCTTCAGGGCCAGTCAGGTTCCAGCTGCAGGGACCTGGCAACAAAGAGAGAATGGATGAGGAAGGAAGGCGGGCTTCGTATCCTGACTCAGTGCCTGTTCCCCTGGGAGTTTTTGCGGGCCTGGGAGTATTAACATTCTGCCCCCACTCATAGGGTTGCCGATCCCCTTGTCTGGAAATTCAAAGGCTCTAAAGGAGCCCTGAACTGGATAGCCCAGGCAAACCTGAGCTCGTCAGATCTTGGAAGCTAAGCAGCATCGACTCTGGCAAGTACTTGGATGGGAGACCTCCAAGGAATATCAGCAGTCGGGAGGCGGGGGCAGGCTTTATTCAGCCACCTCTCTGAATATCCTCCAGGCCCCCAGGAGGTGTCAGTCACCAGAGGTCATGATTACTTCCAGGTGCGCGCATACACACACACATAAACACACACACACAAAAAAAGTTTCCAAATGATCACGTCTCAAGACTGGAAGAGCTATTACCTGGCTCACAAGCTGCCTCTTCTGGGAATCCCCTCCAGTAGTTCCAGCTATTCCCCACGAGCGCACAGGAGCAGAGCTCCAGCAGTAAAGAGCCCAGGGGGTGGGCACATGCAACAAGCCCCATTCCCTGCTCCCAGCAGCCCTCAGTCAGAGCAAGAAGCAGCCAGGTAAGTTGAAGAGCCCCCCCCCCGGCGCCTGGTCCAAAACAGCCAAGTGGCACCTTTAAGACCAAGTTTTATTCAGGTACAAGCTCTCCCTCCTCTGCGAGGACAGATCTGCACGTTCCCCCCCACCCCAATAGCTAGCAATCCAAAACAGTCCAGTGGAGCCTGAGTGGTGGGTGTTGCCTTCTGACACACTTCCCGTGATGTCAGGGTGTGCGGCATATGCAAATCTTGTGCTAATGAGTTATGCTAATGAGCTCCTGCACCTCTTTTTCTACGAAACGACCCCTGGCTATTTCCCCTCCCCAAGGATGTTTGCAGAACCAAAACAGAAGGGCTCCTGAAGTTGTGGCTCCCTCCTTTGCTTCTATGCTTGGGCCAGAAATCATCAACGGACACTCCCCACATTTAGCTACAAGAATCACTTGGACCTAAATTCTTTCCCATCCCACCGTAGTCACCCTTTGAGCAACATGGCATCCACATAGGTACCCCTTACCTCTCACTCAAGCAACGCAGAACTGGTCAGCCCGATATCTTGGCCAAGGTCCCACATACTGAAGGCCACAGGGCCTGTCTTTAAATGTGGGTCTTCCCCAGTTCCATGTGCCCCTTGGTCTGGGTCTAAGCTGAGGGGCACAGGAGAATGAGTTCCCTCCCCTGGCAATGGGGAGGTGGGGTTCAGCACCCCAAGTTTCAGAGTTTTATTTATTTATTTATTTTATTATATTATATTTATACCCCGCCCTCCCCGCGGACGAGCTCAGGGCGGCTTACAAAACATCATTTGCAGAGATCAAATCCAGGGTTCTAGTGGAAAATAGGTTGTCTAGAAATTTCTGCCAACGTCCACACGCTTCAAAGCTCACCTTTTGTACCAGGAGGACTAGCAGTTAGGGGTTTTTTTTAAAAAAAGAAAGGAAGCAGGCCAAGATTCTCAGGAACCTGCATTTTGCTACCAGTATTTTGTTTTGCACTTGCACAGCATCCCCCACAGCCCACTGCGTTCACCAGGGCTTGTTTTGTAGAAAAAGCCCAGCAGGAACTCATTAGCATAACAGGCCACACCCAACAGCAGAAACTCATTAGCATATTGGGCCACACCCCTGACCCACAGCTCATTGGCATATTAGGCAACACCCCCATGCCTTCTTTTGGCTTGCCTGGGCGCCCCACGGCTGCGGGGAGCCTGGGCAAGCTGACCCTTGGTCAGGCCAGAGGGAGGCATTTAAAGAGGAGGAGGAGGAGGAGGAGGAGATTGGATTTATACCCCGCCCTTCACTACCCAAAGGTGTCTCAGAGCGGCTTACAAACTCCTTTCCCTTCCCCTCCCCTCCCCACAACAGACACCCTGTGAGGTGGGTGGGGCTGAGAGAACTCTGACACAAACTGCTTTTTCAGGAACAGCTATGCCAGAGCTTGTGACTCACCCAAGGTCACATCAGCAGGTGCAAGTGGAGGAGTGGGGAATCAAACCCGGTTCTTCTGGGGACCCAGGGAGACCTGCTACAGAGTGGCAGGGTCCCTTTCTGAGCAGCTGCCTGCTCCAGGTTGCCAACCTCCAGGCGGCGGCGGGAGATCTCCCGATATTACCACTGATCTCCAGTGACAGATCGGGTTACGTGGAGAAAATGACCACTTTGGAAGGTGGACTGTATGGCATTATTTCCCATTGAAGTCCCTCCCCTCCCCCAAACCCCACCCGCCTCAGGCTCCAAACTCCAGGTATTTCCCAAACCAGAGCTGGCAGCCAGTGTTCCCTCTAAGCTGAGTTAGTGTGAGCCAGCTCACAGTCTTTTAGCCTCCGGCTCACAGATTTTTGCCTCAGCTCAGGAAGGATGGCTCCAGAGCAAACTAACTTATCCAGTAGCCAAATTGCTCGCTCACAACTTTTATGCCTGTAGCTCACAAAGTAGAATTTTTGCTCACAAGACTCCACAGCTTAGAGGGAGCATTGGCTGGCACCCCTACCAGACACACCCTGGGCTTGCTGTAGATACTGTCATATTAATGGGAGTTAAAGTGAGCATTGGCTCCAAATACTGGAAGAAATGAACAAGCATTAAGGGGGGCAATTATAGGGAGACCACAAACAGGTGCAAGGTGCAAGGAAGAGATCGCTCTCTGTGGATGCAAATGGGTCACTGCTGACCTATGGGGTGCAGTCCACGAGGGGTATTCCTCTGTGCAAACTGAAAAGGCTGGGAACTGTGCCAGGCAATGGCTCTGCTCATTTCAAAGAGGCTGCTGGATTATTCTCTATGACAGCTAGTGAGGGCAAGGAGAAAAGTCTCCAGTTGATTTTAATAGGGGTTTTTGCCTTTGCTCCTATCAGTTTTTAACCATCTGTTTGGTTCTCTAGACAGTGTCACTGAGAATTAAATGACAAGCTTTCCCAGACCTGAACCAGTGAGGTCAATGCCAAGGACTTTTGGGGGGGCAAGACACCTCCCACACAGCTAGGCCAGCTTTAGGTTGGGAAATTCCCGGAGATCTTGCAGGTGGAGCCGGGGAGGGCCTCAGCGGGTTATAATGTCACAGAGCCCACCCTGCAAAGCAGCCGTTTCCTCCAGGGGAACTGGGCTCTATTGCCTGGAGAGCAGTTGTCATTTTGGGAGATCTCCAAGCTCCAACTAGAGATTAGCAGCTAGGGTTGCCAAGTCTTTCTGACTCCCCGGCGGGGGAGCGTTGCACGCCGCCGCCAGAACGTCACAGGAAGTGACGCACAACATAGAGCACGTTGGGAGCATGGCCCAGATCGTCGGGCCCCCGCCGATCTGGGTCTGGGCCACGCTCCCAACGTGCTCTACGTTGTGCGTCACCTCTGGTGACGCAGCTTCAGGGGGCGGAGTTCCCCCCGGGGCCCAATTCCACCGCAGCGGAAATCAGGCCTCCAAAGCGGGGGTTTCCCCGCCCCTCCCGCCCCCATTTGGCAGCCCTATTAGCAGCCCGACACACAAAGCTTGGATAGATTTCCCTTGCTAGTCCTTAACCTTATGCTGCCAGACCTTCAAATGTTAAAAAGAGGTTTGCTACACAGCTCGGCGTGCAAAACCCTAGCTCTGAGTTGCCTAGCCAGATTTTGGACAAAAGACCTGGAAGGATGTTTTTAGGATCAGTTTAGCTGCAGGATCGCCAGCTCTGGGTTAGGAAATACCTGGGGATTTGGGGTGGGGAGCCTGGGGAGGGTTGGGTTTGAGGAAGGAAGGACCTCAGCGGGGAACAATGCCATTGAGGGCACCCAGGGCCGGCTCCAGCTTATTTTGCACCCGCACCCTAGGCGAAGATCCCTTCTGGCCCCCCCCCCCCCCGTGCACCCACCAATTTTCAAAAATAAATGCATTTTAGGAAGAATGAAAAACACAAATAATCAAGAAACTCCCAGAGTACGGGGCCTGTCAAAACAGATCCTGCCGGGTGCAGTTTGGTGCCCCTAAGGGCCGTCCCGCTCTAGGCGATCGCCTAGTTCGCCTAGTGAGTGAGCCGGCCCTGAGTGCACCCTCCAAAGCAGCCATTTTCTCCAGGGGAACTGATCTCTGTTGTTGACGGAAGGGGCCGTGGCTCAGTGGCGGAACATTTGCTTGACATGTGGAAGGTCCCAAATGCAATCCCCAGCATCTCCAGTTTAAAAGGACCAGGAAATAGGTGGTGTGAAAGACCTCTGCCCAAGGCTCTGGAGAGCCACTGCCAGTCTGAGAGGACAGTACTGACTTTGATGGACCCATGGTCTGATTCAGAAGAAGGCAGCTTCAAGTATAGGGCTGCCCGCCTCCAGGGGGTGGCTGGAGTTCTCCTGGGATTACAACAGATCTCCAGGCAACAGAGATCAGTTCACCTGGAGAAAATGGCTGCTGTGGAAGGGGGACTCTATGGCAGGGGTGTCAAACATGTGGCCCGGGGGCCAGATCAGGCCCCCGGAGGGCTTCTATCAGGCCCGCAGTGGAGCTGGCTGTCTTCTGCTTCTTCTTCCAGTTCTGCTGCTGCTGCGTCATCGTAGGTTTGCAGCTTACAGATACACACCTGAACAGCATACTCAAGACTGCAACAGCACAGACCTTTTGATGCAATAATTCAGAGCAAGAGGTGTCAGTTATCAGACACTGTTAAATAAATGAAATATTGCAAGAGTGCTAATGTTTTCAGCACGTTTTTATTTTAAGTAAAAAAAACCTTTGTGTTTGTGCCTAGCAGTTCGAAAGCAAGAAATTGCAGGTAGATAAATAGTACCACTTCAGTGGGAAGGTAACAGCGTTCCGTGCGCCTTGGCGTTTAGTCATGCCAGCCGCATGACCACGGAAACGTCTTCGGACAGCGCTGGCTCTTCGGCTTTGAAATGGAGATGAGCACCGCAACCCTAGAGTCGGATTCGACTGGCTTTCGAGCAAGGGAACCTTTACCTTTACCTGGCATTACATTTTATGACACACATGGCCCAGGCCAACAAGGTCTCATTTATGTCAGATCCGGCCCTCAGAACAAATGAGTTTGACACCCCTGCTCTATACCCCATTGAAGTCCCTCCCCTCCCCAAACCCCACCCTCCTTAAGCTCCACCCCCAAAACCTCCAGGTATTTCCCAAGCCGGAGATGGTGACCCTATTCATGTATCCAGATTCATGTATCCACGTTGTAATAGTAGAAGATCTCCAGGCCCCACCTGGAGGCTGGCAACCCTAGCTTAGCTGAGCCGCCATTTCCCTTCCCTCTCCCGGGCCGCTGGGATTCAGGTGTCCCCCCCCCCCATACCTACCTGCAACCGCTGCCGGCACCCCTGTGATGACTGTGGTGGTGGTGATGGTGGTTGCTGCCATCTCTTCGTTTTCCTCAGACACCACGCTGGGGGTGACCACTTTGGGCTTCCCTGTGGAGGCGGCAGGGGAGGGGCGGCTGCTGTCACCAGACGCCGTAGATAGAGCGGCTGAGTCTGAGTTGGGAAGGCCAGTCTGGGGAAAGGACAGCACAGGGGTGAAAGATGGGCGCATGTGCTCAGAGAGCGGAGGGCTGGTTTGGGGGGCACCCCGGCCTAGCTCAGCTCGAGGCCTCATAGCTGTGGTCAGCAGGTCAGTCGTCAAGGCCGGTTTGGCCATCTCCGGGGGCCTCTCGGAATCCCTGCCTTGCCCTGCTTTGCCCGCCGCGGCCAGGGGAGTAGACATCGTCATGGGGACCATGGGGGGCTCTGTGGTGGGATCAGAGAGGACTGGGCCGGCCACGTTGCTTGCGGGGCCGAGCTCGAGGTCAGCGTCAGGCAGGACAGGCCCAGGGCCAGGCAGCCCGGCAGCCATGAAGGGAATCTGCTGAAGATAATCTTTTGCCTCGTGAAGGAA